AAACTGTGGAGCTAACCATTTGACAAAAAACTGTGAGTTTACGGGCTTTCTCGAGGAACAAGTCAACTTCATTCAGAATGACTCCCTCAATTTTAACCCATATTCGCAAACATATAACCCAGGATAGAAACAATATCCAAATTTCAGATGATCAGATAATCAACAAGGGAATGTGTTCGTGCAAAACCCGCAAGCGTACGGGATCGTTGATAAGTAATAGAATTGATGAGTTAAAGAGTATCGTCCCACAAGGAATAAATTCATTTCAAGTTTACTAACTTTTTGTGGAATTTGAATTATGTAAACAAAAGAGAGTTTGATTTTATTTTATGTTTAATTAATCTAAGATAGCAATAAAAATGTGGTTTTTATCAATTTATGGATGATAATATTGGATCTCGAATATGTCAATTGTTATCTATTTCAATTCTTAATTTGTAATCTAATTTCATTCATGTGTTCTTGACAATCGATAAAACTATGATATATAATTTTCTTTTTCAAAACAAATTAGATATATTCTAACCACGACCCGTATCTATTCCAAGCCCGAATTCGGATTATTAAAATGCATTAAAGTTTAGATTATTTATATGACTGTACATATGATAAATGTTATTCCTAACATCTATTGCATATATGTTAATTGTGCCGTGTTCTAAACTTATTGTGAGTCTCTCAACATTACAATAAGCATCTAATTATCTAATTGGTGGCCAATCAGTTAAATAATGCAATGTGTATGCAAAATTAATCAAGAAATGCAAAAAAAAAAAACACAAATAGGGTTCATCTTCATTCAATACAAAAATAGATCTAGCCTAACATGTTAATATATAAATTACAAGAACAAAAATGGAAAATATCACCCGGATCATGAAATAAATCAAAAGATGTTGATTTTCACGCCAAAGGTTGAATTCTTCAAAATTGTGATGTAATTGACCTTCAATTTCTTTCAAGGACTTGATCTCCTCACTCAAATTATAGTAATTGACCTCTTATTTTTGATGAATTTGATGAAACTATGGTGTATGAGAGGCAAGAGAGACTTTTTTATGTGTAGCCCTCGTACTCTATTTATAAGAGTTAGAAAATAGGTCAAAATCGCGTCCAATTTGGTTTCTAAAAGAGTTTGAAACGTGAAAGAAAACTAAAAATTCATTTGCGAAAAGGCATGTGCGTGCACATGGTTATAACTACCGCGTGCGCGCCATAGATCCAAATGGCTCTCGGATTGGGGAAAATAGTATCGTGCGCACGCAAGTTCGTCTCATAGCAGCTTTTGGTATTTTGGTCATAATGTTCTCCACATATATCTGATTGAGCTGATTCAAAATGATTTGGAAAGCTAATTAATAGAGCTACAATTATTCAAGAAATAAAATTTTTCTAATTCGAACGTTTGCTATCCAAAAATGGGGCTAAATTTAAGGCTAAAAATCTAGAGCATAACTTCTTCTACTGGAAATTGATTTGGGAAAATACTTCCACTATATTTCACTCATTTG